GCCCCCTTTCCTTTTGCCCACTGCAATTTTAGGTTTACAGAAAAATTAATCAGGAAGTGCAGAATTCCCTTTATCCCTTGCTTTCTCACATACTAACAGCCTCTTCTGCTATCAACAACCCACATGAAAGTGGAATGAACATTCGTTACAATCATGAATCTACATTGACATGTCATTATCACTCAAAGTTCATAGTTTGCATTAGGGTTTGCTCTTGGTATTGCACAATTTATGGATTTTGACAAATGTATAATGACATGTATCCACATTATATGATCATAGAGAGTAGTTTCGTGGCCCTAAAAAATCCTCTGTGCTCCACCTATTCATCCCTCCCTCGCCAACCCCTGGAAACCACTGATTTTTTTTTAACCCTCACCCGAGAATATGGTTTATTGATTTTGAGACAGAGAGAGAAAGAAAGAGAAACACCAATGTGAGAGAGAAACATTGATCAGTTGCCTCCCCATACATGCACTAACCAGGGATAGAACCAGCAACCTTGGTATGTGCCCTGGCTGGGAATCTAATCCACAACCTTTTGGTGTAACGGACAATGCTCCAACCAACTGAGCCACCAGGCCAGGGTCCACTGATCTTTTCACTGTCTCCATAGTTTTGTGTTTTCCAGAATGTTAAAACATATAGTATGTAGCCTTTTCAGATTGCAATTTACATTTAGTAATATGCATTTGTTTCCTTCATGTCTGTATGTCTTTTCATGGTTTGATAGCTCTTTTTTTTTTTTAGTGCTGAATATTACTTCATTGCATAGATGTACTGCAGTTTGTTTATCTATTCATTTACTATTGTTGGTTAAATTGTCATACTGCTCATATTTATATGTTAAAATCCTAACTCCTACTACCTCAAAATTATACTGTACTAGGAGATAGGGTCTTTAAAGAGATAATTAAGTTAAAATTAGGTCATTAGAGGACCCTAATCCAATATGACTAGTGTCCTTATAAGACAATATTAGGACACAGACATGCACAGAGACCTTGTGAAGACACATGGAGAAGATGGTCATTGACAAGCAAAGGAGATAGGCCTTCAGAAGAAATCAACCCTGCCGACACCTGGAGCTTAGACTTTTAGCCTCCAGAATTATGAGAACATAAATTTCTGTTAAGCCAGCCAGTCTGTGGTACTTTGTTATTGCAGCCCTAGCTAACTAACACACCTACTGAATGACATCTTATTTGCTTCCAAATTTTGGCAATTATGAATAAAGCTGATATGGACATTTGTATGGAGGTTTTTGTGGGGTCATTTTCAATTCATTATATTAAATATCAAGGAATGTAACTGCTAGATCAGATGGTAAAAGTACATTCAGTTTTTTAAAAACTGCAAAACTGTCTTCCAAAATAGCTACATTGTTCTATATTCCTTTCAACAGTGCATGGGTGATCCAGTTCCTTCACATCTGCGCCAACACTTATTGACTATATTTTTATTATAGTTATTCTTGTGGTTGTGCAGCGGTATCTCATTGTGATTCTGATTGGTAGTTCCCAAATAAATAATGATACTGACATCTTTTCATGTGCTATTTGCCACTTCCACATTCTCTTCTGTGAGATGGCACTTCATGTCTCTTACTTCTATTCTAATTGTTTTGTTTGTTTTTCACTGTTGAGTTTTGAGAGATTTTCTATATTTTAGATAACAGTATTACTCAGATATGTGATTTACTGATATTTTCTTCCAGTATTTAGCTTGGCTTTTTATTTTTTAACATGTTTTTTCACAGAGCAAAGGTCTTTAGTTTTATTGAAATCTAACTTTCTTCTTTATGGATTATATTTTTAGTGTCATGTCAGAGAACTATTCACCAAGTCTTAGATTCTGAAGAATTTCTCCTATGATTTCTAAAAGTTTTATATTTTATATTTAAGTCCATGTGCAATTCTTAGTTGGTTTTTATATAAGATATGAATTTAGGTTGAATTTATTGTTTCTAGTTTGCTTACAGATATCTAATTATTTTTGCACCATTTGTTGAAAACACTATCTTCCTCCATTGGATTTCATTTGCATCTTTGTTAAAAATTAGTGGTTTGCACTTTTGTGAGATAATTCTTTGTTTTTTACATAGTTCCACTAATCTACTCCCTCCAGCAAAAACACACAGTTTTGATTTCTACAGATGTGTAATAAATCTTAATGTTGGATAAAATGATTCCTTCTACTTTATTCTTCTTTGACAAAATGTTTTAGCTATCTACTTCCATTACACTATAAACACTGCACTTTAATATCTATTAATTTCTATCTAAACAAAAAGAGTGTAATAATTAACAAGTTAAAATGTACAAAAATGTTTAAAATCTGAGATTTCAAAATATAAAATGCTGTGTTTGTGTGTGTGTGTGTGTGTTTGGGGAGGTGTGGTTATAGTAAGAAAGTGAAGTGTTCCCTATAATAGCATATATTAATTTTTTCTCATTAGTGTACATGAATTATATTCCACTGTTTCTTTTAAAGTCACTTTATAATATCAATGACAATTTATTTCCCCACTATATTGCCTGGCAGCTGGTAGACATTTAGTAAGTGTGAATAAATGATTTACCAATAAAGACATAATCCAATGGTAAGTAACATCTTCATTTACATAAGGCTAACAGTTGCTTAACGATATATTAATAAACTGACTGACTACATCTTATGTACCTCATTGGATCCATTGCTGAAAACAAGAAAAGGATTTGATGGTTATACATTCATAATTTTTAGTAAAAATATTACAACCTCTTGACTATGCCTTTGTATGTGCAGAGAGGAAGAAAGAATCATTTCTGAGCCTTCTTATTATTGTAACATTAAACACAGATAATAAGTTTAGAGTATAAGACAAAAAAATTCTTAAGTTTTCCCCTCCAGGGGCAAATTAGTTCATACAGGGTCAGTCTTTGTTAACTATAAGGACTCTGTCCTGTTTTCATTTTCTTCTCCTCTCATCTTGGTGTTTTTAGTATTTTACTTTATCTACTTCCTTATCAAGTCCCTCTTAGTCTCCTTGAGGTCCCCGATCCAGACAAAAATTACTTCAGTATGTTGAGTTTTTCCTTCCATCATGAGAGTTAGAGAAAGGGTAAGAATTGGGTAGGGTCGGAGATTTGCCTCAATCTAGGCTTGGAGTGACTCAATGTATTAACAAGACAGACAAATATTTTTTTCCTAGTATTTTTCTCACTTTTTAGAAGGATTCTGAGACCCTCTATGGCTGAAAGGATTTCTGTCACTTTACCAGGACTGAACAACATTGTTTTTTAATCCTAGCGTAGTATAACTCATTACCTCTGAAAGATAGTATGTGTGGCTCACCCCACCCCAACACAGGGTTAAAAGGCAGTTATAATATTTTCTTATAAAAGTATGAAAAGAAAATTTATCTTTTTTCCATATCTCAAGTGTCTTCATTTGTGGAAAGACTTATAGTACTGTATACAGAAGATATTCACATATTAGTGTTTCATTTCATGAACCATTGTTAGTACAGAGAAAAGAAAAATTATTATTGTCATTCAGATTTGATAAATGAAAAACCTGAGGCTTAAATGATTGTGCAAAGTTAGAGAACCAGAACTTCTGACTCCAAGGTAATAGAAAATTTGCAACATACAATACTGTCAACTTGCATATCAAAAATTCACGAATTAGTAAACATAAATAATAAAACTATACAATATAAAAATTTTTGAAAGAAACAGAAAAACATTCTGATCTGTGTTCATAGTAGAAAATTCATGCTTCAAATTATGAATTTGTGCATTATATTTTCAGATTATTTAAATAAAATAGGAACCTAATTATTTGGATTAAGTCCACATGAAATATATTTCAAAACCTAAAAATCTCTATACTCCAAAGAAAACTAGTTCTTGACAATTCAATAAAGAGAAAAATAAGAGAGGGCAACAGAGAGAGAGAGAGAGAGAGAGAAACACACAGCGAAAGAACTGAAAACATTAGGCAAATACATTGTCTATTATTAGTATTAATTTGTTTAAAGCATTAGAAGTTTTAATGATTAGGTTGTTTTACCCACAGGAAAGCTATTGATTAAAATAAATATTTATTGCTCAGGGATTGTTAAGGTGTCTGGTCAAACACAAAGAATTGTTTTATAAACATTGAGACTCCAGTTTGTGTCTCATCTCATAGACTTAACATACAGCCTGGTACAAGCTCTCACAGGAAACAGAATTACAGACCCAGCAAGACTTACCATCTTGATATACAGTGTTAGGCTAACATGAATTAATTACACACTAGCTCATTGCTTCAGAGAAAAATCTATAGCTACTAATGGGTTTTGCTCTTGAGGTTGAAAGTCACAAAAATATTATATTCTTTTTCTTGAATATTAGTTAATTTCCCTTTAGTGACCACATTAGGAAGTAAAGGACCGCAGAAGGCTAAAAGGTTCCCATAAAATTCAATACTATATATTTAAAAAGAATAAAGTAGGCTTTCATGTACCGGGTGAGGTTTCTTATATGACAGCTTTGGTAACAACTAGTGATTATCATTCTGGTCACCTATACTTCTCCTGTTTACTCATAACAATTCAATTTATTCTGCAGAAAAATCCTGACTGATCAAAGCATATACAATCATGCACTGTACACGTGGAAGTTTACTTAATCCTGTACATAGTGCTGAAAAAATACAGTCTGACTGGATCCTCATTAAGAAAATCTCCTTTAAATACTTAATGTATGAGAAAATAAAATTCATCTGTAAAAGACAGAGGGGAAAATTCCCCTCAACTGAAATAAACTTTGCTACTACTTAATATGGTTTAATTACAGAAACAAATGTTCTAATTGACAAATGGAAACAATCTAAACACTATTTGTCCCTGAAGGAAAGGAAATTTAGCGAGTGCCTTAAATACTCTACTGAAGTTTCCTCATCTGAAAACTAAAACAATAAAAGTTACTCTCCTCAAAGAGAATTATTTTTGCTTTCATTGTTGTTTTTTGTAGGGGAAAGTGAGAACACAGTCCCCCCACAAATTATGCAGTCATTTCACACGGCGGGGAGAAACTGCAGGAGTCAGCACACCTGAAACGCAGTGAATAAAGCCTCGCCCTGGGAAAACCACCTTTGTGATCATGGCGTCTCCCCTGCCAGGTAAGTATTTTTAATTGGTATTTTAAATATACAAAATAATTTTAAGTACTATAAAATCTAAAGCAAAATACTTATACAATTTCAATAAAGTATAAACTAAAGTAACTGACATGTATTCAGTCTATGAATAAGATTTGGAAGTTTGGAGTCAGAAGCTCTAGAATTGGTAGATTGCAGAGAGGGCCCTGATCCTTTGCCCCTGCTCATAATTTGCCACATAACTTAACAATTTGTCCCAGGGGCAGGGGAGCAGACACAATTTCCACCCCTAAGTACAGCCATGTATTGCTTTAGCCAATGACATGTTAAAAAGCATGATGCAAAGAAAAGATTAAAATAGGCTTATACAATTGGCTTCATTGTCACATTCGCCTTCTAAAAATACTGCCATGAAAGGACATACCGGGGATAGCCTGATAAAGGATGGGAGACATAGGGAGCAGAGCTCAGGTTTCCCAGGTAAGGCCATGCTAAATTATCGGATAATCAGTTAACCCCCAAGCATGATCGGTAGAGTTGCTGGTAGGACTACTTCATTCACATAAGAAAAAATTCTTAGGCTTGTTTGTCACAGAAGTTATGTGGCTGTTTGTTCCACATCATTATTACAGCTATAGGTAGCTGTTACAAAAATTGTACTAAAAATGGAGTGCAGCTATAACAAAAATATGATCCGTTGATTTTGGAATCAGGAGACAGGTAGGAAGGATAGCATTAAAGGAGGCTAGAAAATGGGGGAAAAAAACATGACAGGAAAAGTGAAGTGTGATGACCTGTGTTATGAAGTTGTGTTACATTTAGTAAAATCACAACATGAAATCTGAAAGTCAGATAATATACTTAATGAACTTTTGGGCTTGACTTAAAGAGATGTCCGAGGAAGGTACTAAAAACATCTACTGGTTGCTTTTAGCTGTTTATGGTAAAATTCTACCAAAAAAAAAATTAGACTAAAGAACTGGCTATCTTCCAAGAAATGTTTAATGGAAATGTGGAGAGATCAGGAATTTTGGAAATTGATAGCTTAGAAAATAAAACCATTCACATCCCCAGCCTCTCAAATAAATAAACGATTCCCATATTAATACATTGCCTCAGGACCAGAGATCTTTGAGAACGTTTGTTAAGGCCTCTAAAATAACAGAATTGGTGCCTAGTAGACCTCTTAGCTGGACCAACGGACTCCTAAGGAATATTAACGGTGTTGTCTCATAGCTGTTTCACATGTGAAAAAGACCAGTAATTAAGTGTAGAGAGATAGGCATGTCTCAAAAAACAACAACAACAAAAACTGGGATGCAATTCATGGTATATGTGTGATCTAAAATATGATACATAGAAAATCCATAGAGTATTCAAGGTAGCTGTACTTGTAAAAGCACCATCACCTTGTTCTAAAAAGGCTTAGTCATTCCCAGGACATACTTAATCAAGGACCATACTCCATTTCAGGGTAGGGGGATTTGGCAATATTTTGCCTGGGAGGATTTCAGAATTAATATGGCCTAGCGACTGCTATAGTGCCTCTTATTAAAACTGTAACATGTGTTTATTGTAATGAAAGTATTTGTTGTAATTATTCTCTCCCTGGCCGAGTAGCACAAAACAAACTGTTTTGTTCATTGATTTTTGTGGTGCAGGATTTTGGACTAGAAATAGTGGAGGTAGATTCCCTCTACTTAACCATCTCTGGAATCTCAGCCAGAGGACTTGAAAGCCATAGGCTATAATTCCCTGAAGGTTTACCAAGATGTCTGGTGATAGATGCTGGTAGTGACCTTGGATCTCTTGGGTATAATATCTTCACATGGTCTTCCCATGTGGACTTGACTTACTCACAAAATAGTGGTTGGGTTCCACCAGAAGCATTAAAGAGACTATTTTTAAAGATATAATCTGCCACATAGTGTTTGGGGTTAGATAATTTGTCTTTTTATTTTATTCTTCTTCATATCAAGAGACCCCACATCCAAACCTATTGAAAATTATAAAATTTTGACAATGTGATACTGATGGTATGACTGTATAATATTTTGTGGACAGGGAAAGTTTGGTGGAATAGAGATGAGCAAATTTTACATATGGTAAGTTATTAAATAATTGCAGCTATCATTGAAGACAATATTAACTTTTGTTAAGAGACTCAATTGTTTTTTTTCCTTGTATCCACAACACTCTGCCAGGTAACTTTTCAGTTTTCCTGGAGCCAGTCTAGGAGATTGATATAACTCTCCTCCCTTGGGTTGGCCATGTCTCATACCTTGGCCAATGAGTTGTTAGCAAACATGATACAAATAGAAGCTTGGGATGGTCTGGTACAACTACACTCGCCCTTGCCATTATCCTCAGCATGAGTGGGATATGCGCAGGCCTATCTGCAGAAAGATGAGAGATGTGGAATAGAGTCAGGCTGACCCACTCATTCCAGCTGAAGACTTCCAGATTATTTAACAGCCTGCAATCCCCCAGAAATGAAAGTAATTTCCACCAAAATTAGCAGAGCCACCAACCGACCACCTTAGAGTGTGAATTTAATAAAGGCTTATTGTAATGGACCAATGAGGCTCTATACTATTTGTTATGAAACTTTTGTGTCAAGAAAATAAACTGATATCCACATATCAGATAGCAAATAATGTCAGTTAAAAGATCAAAATGAATGCTATTCTCAGATTATACTGTACTCCACTGTCATATCAGGAAGGTACATCAGGGATTAAGTAACTTTCTACTTGACCAACTTCTGGCCATGCACTATATTTATTGGGCACATGTTCAAATAAAATAAACTCATTATTCAGGGGAAAATGCTTATATGTACACAAATCACACTCACAACTTACTGAGCTACAAAGAAGTAATGAGCATCTGTATGAAACTGCCATTCGCACTGATAAGCAGAGCCACCCAACAAATTATCAGTGCAACAGAGTTAATGTTAACTAGAATATCAGTGATTTTTGCACATCTACCTGGGGGATCAAACTTACATCTTTACCATTTTACTGCAGGAAATTTAATATTTAAAAATAAGAGACCAACGGGGCACTTTGCAATGAAAGGGTCTATATAAAAAATAAGAATTACTTTACTGGTCACAAATGAGCCTCAACTGTAGATGTGCCTTTGGCTATAAGCTTATAAAAATTACTATGCAGCCCTAGCCAGTTTGGCTCAGCGGTTGGAGCATCAGCCTGTGGACCAGAGAGTCCCAGGTTCGGTTCCTGCTGGGGCATGTACCTCCCCCCAAAAATTACTATGCATATGTTAATAACTAATAATAATACACACCATTGTTACTCATAATTTAGGTATTATCAGAGAAGCTGAAGAAATGGTTTTACAATATCAAGAAAAATCTGAATGAAGAGAAAGGAAATTATTTCACGGGTATTAGTTAATTTTCCTATACAGAGAGAGATTAGAATACAGTGTTACTCTAGGCAGGAACATTATTCCTACTTTGGAACATCCATCTGTATCAAAAGACATTGATTAAATTAGGCACCAGCACCAAGTAGTAACTTCGAACCATCTAAATCATCTCTGATGTTTAAGCCTATGTATAGCTTTTTAAAAATCTTGGCATATTCTCTGGGGGCCAGGAGAAATCCGTTGGCATTAAATTTCAAATTGTTATTCAAAATATAGTCAACAAGCAGTTTCAGACAAATGAATGAGAGAGTGTACTCTCAGATAGCCAGAGTTAGTGGCTCAAACATTAATCCACTGGATAACATAAAGCAAGTTACTTAACCCCTTTATGCCTCAGTTTCCCCATTTGTAAAATATAAATAATAATTGTGCTCATGTCATATAATTGCTGTGAGAATTAGCTGAATTAATACAATGCTTAGCACATGATAAGCACTCAAAAAAATGAGAGCCATCAGAATATCTAAATTAATCATACAGTTCAGTTGCTTGACCATCTTTGATTATTTATTAAAACATTTAGTTGTCAGATTAGCAATATTGGATTCTAGTCATTAATTCTCTGACATTAAATTCAATGGTGTCTTCTTTTTGTCTTATGTCTCAATGGAAAGATAATAGAAACTAGAGCATCTCGAATTGTTATTGATTTATCTCCAGGAACCCTTCTTCTATTGTGGTTATTGAGGAAAAATGCCACCAGCTGTGGGAAACAGGTACATACTACAAAAATATAGAAATTATCATCTAAGTTCTGACACTACTTTACTGTAGAACTTGTTGCAGGTCACTTATCTTTTCTTCGGTGGATGTGAAAATGCCGGGTCTGTACTGAAGACTGCAGAGATCTCTTCCAAAGCTGAAACACTAAAAGTGCTGATGTGTGTTTAGAACAAGCACAGGCTTTGGCATCAGACAAATCTGAATGTGAACTCTCATTCTGCTCTTTGCTCTCTGGGACGCCTTACGTTCTCGGGTTAATGTGTAAGTCTTTTACAATGACTGGTGTGTGTACAGTGTGTGCCAATGAGTGGTGCATATGAGCTCTAATGACTGACTGCTGAGGCATGTGATGGGGATAAAGGTCTGAGCCCCGGAATCAGAACTACTGGGTTTTAGATCTCAACTCTCTCACTAAAGTTTATTTGTTCCTTTCTTATTGATGTCAGAGAGAGAAGAAAAGGAAGAGAGAAACACTGATGTGAGAGAGAAGCATTCATCATCTGCGTCCTGCACGCACCGCAACTGAGGATCGAGCCTGAAACCTGGACATGTGCCCTGACCAGGAACAGAACCAGCAACCAGCTGAGCCACCCCTGCCAGGGCTCACTGACATTTTTAAATGTCAGTTTCTTTATCTAAGAAAATAAGATTAATAATGGATTTTTTTTATTATTTTTATCCTCACCCGAGGATATTTTTCCATTTTTTACTCAGATAGAGCAGGAAGGAGAGAGAGGAAGAGAGAGAAACATCGATGTGAAAGGGACACATCGAGTGGCCGCCACCCACACGACCCAACCAGGGCCAGGGACAAACTGCAGCCAAGGTACATGCCCTTAGCGGGAACCGA